AAGCCAAATTCGAGTCTCAGCGAGATTGGTTTGCTCAACGAGACGAGCCTGCAAATCACCGTGTAATGTGGGACAGATGGGCCTGAACGGTCGTGGTATGCCGTAAACTTGACAGCAGTAGATGGAAGGTTAGGTCAGGTCGGCTTTGACGGCGCTGAATATTGGTCGACAAGCAAGCCTGGGCCGTTTTAATGCCTCGGCTCAAAACGTGGCAACTAACATAAGCGACAAAGTTTAGTCCCCCATACGTGCCGTTGGAAGCTCAAAGTGCTTTTTGGGGGCGTTGTAGAGTAGGTAGCTTGCGAATGACGCTTAGAACATTCCAAGCCAACGACTCGCTGTATTAGGCCAAGTGGATGTAACCCCTAGCTACGCAAATGACAGGGCTTGAGAGGAAGTTGTATTCGTACGTGCGAGGGGAGGGTGGCATGCAGCAAGACGATCTAGTGAAGGTTGCATAATCCCATCGACCACATCGCGGGGGTGGCCAACTTCACATGTGCTACCCGTTTTGTGGCGTCAATCACCGACTGTCATTTTGCGGCGAGACAGACAAGATGATCAGTAAACCGCGTTGTGAGCTAGTCGTTGTGAATCGCGAGAACACGCGCACCAATACCCTAGCGCCATCGGTTTAGCGGATCGGTGCTGCGCCATGTCTCAAATGCGTCCATTTCACTAGGTAAAATAGAAGAAGACTAACCAGCCGTTGGACGAACAGACAGTCGTATATCCGCGATGGTGCTCACGTCTCAATGGGGCTCGCATGTACCTATTGTCTCCTCGACCTTCTCTACAGATTCGATGTAGCGGGTTGCTTACAGACACTGGCGCGCCAATCGTAAAAGGTAACCTAAGCGAGAAGCCACCCACCTCTTCCAAGCCTCAATAGATGTCATTCATCTACTAAGAATACACACATGACTTGAACAAGGCAAGTTTAACTGCGAATAGTTTGCGATATGTCTTAGGAGCTGTGCTATCGAAACACACGGCATTTGAGATTCGCTGGTGGCCGTGAGGCAGTGTCAGACACCAAAGAGGCAGGTTAGTAAATACAATGACTTACAAGTTGTGGAGTACAGAGTAGTGGGAAAGAAAAATGTCTCTTGCCGCTCGCGCCGGCACCCTGCCGACTCTGGGGACGTGTGTAAAGGAGGGACGGAATCGAGAGGGATGCTGGGATGCACAAGACTGGGGCTCCTTGCATCTGAATCGCGGAACCAGGGTTGTCTGGGGTGCCGCGCATCCTTTTTAGGGATTGTATTCGGCGATGGGACGAATCTGGATACCGGCGATCATCCCCGATCGCCATGGGCTACTGTAGCGTACATCAAGACCTTACGAGACAACCGAGGGTCACTTTACAGCCTCTTGGCTCAATCAACCCTAAAAGACTGTATCGTCGCCTTTGAGCTCAGCTGAGATAGTTGGTCAGCGTGACTAGACGAGCTACCGCGCGGGGCCAAATTGACGCTTTTGTTCGACGTTTCGACCAGTATGAACCTTAAATGATTCAGTAACCATGCATCGGCACATTTCTCGCAACCGCTTCCTAGCTGCAATCTCCGGATGACCTGTCCCAGAAACCGGTTCTACTCCACTTGGCCTGTCAACCACGTGTGGCAGTTACAGCTGTTGTTGCTGAGCAAGCAATCGCTAACACGCTGCAGATATTGCGCCACCCAAGACAGCTCAGATAGAGCCAGGGATGTTGTGTGCATTTATCCGACCCTGCCCTTGCCCCCCTCCTTTCCCCTGATGCTCTTCCCGTAACCCCTTGTCTTTCTTTTGTCCATTCTACTGGAGCAAGTACGGATCCGTAGGTGTTATTCGGTCTGGGCCAATATGTCGTCGTTTAACGCGAGCAGCGCTTGTCTCTCGGCTGCCTTGTTTCCCCTGACCGTTGTGGGGAAGAGAGTTCACAATCGGCAGGTAAGACCGGCAGCATCAATAGCAGGCAAATTCGAAGTCTTGGAGGGTCGTTATCAGACGAAGTAGTCCCATCTTTAGGGGACTGTTAAATCATATATCGGGTCGTCCCGAGTCGAGGTACAATTCTGCAACATCTTGCGTCTCTACTCACTCGTTACACCTTTGTACATACGCACAAACACTCGTTCCTTTGCTCTTAAAGTCCCACTCAGACACTAGTCACCATGGCGTACGTCGTGAAGATGACTGTGGCTGTGGCAGCAATGCCGCTCCTCGGAGCGCTTGCTCGTCCGTCCTCTCCTTCAGTCTGTCTCAAGCGACAGAACGACACAAATTTGCTGCCGAGCTACGACTACATTGTTGTTGGCGCCGGTGCCAGTGGACTTACTGTTGCTAACCGCCTTTCGGAAGACCCTGGTAAGTGGCAGAACACTCTAAAGCGTCAATCAACGAATCAATAACTGACTTGGCATAGCCGTAACTGTTCTTGTTATCGAGGCTGGTGATCTGTGAGATTGCCCAAATGGACTAACAAAATTTTCATGTTCTGACGTATGACTTCTAGTGACGCGGGCGAGGATTACGTTAAGATCCCTGGATTGGCTGGCGGCGCCGTTGGAACCAAGTACGACTGGAACACGACCTACGCCGCAAACGACGCCCTTGGAGGCCGGTCTGTCTCGATTCCCCAGGGAAGAGTTGTTGGAGGTTCAACTAAGCTTAATCGCATGGTATTCGACCGGGGCTCAAAGTCTGATTACGATCGTTGGGAAAGCCTCGGAGCCACAGGATGGAACTGGGATTCTTTGCTTCCTTATTTCAAGAAGGTAAGTGCTTGTGTCCCCTAGTGGAAATCGTGAAGGTAAATCGTGTTGGTAATCTAACTCTATTTCACCCTACAGAACGAGAAGTTCACACCCCCGAAGGCCGACATCGTCTCTGAGTGGGGCGTCCAGGTTGATGATGCTGCTCACGGCACCGATGGGTTGATGCAGGTCACCTACTCGCCTTTCTTCTGGCCTACAACTAGTTGCGTTTCTCCTACTCAAAACCATCGTAATGTCTAGGGACACGATCTAACCTCCTGAATAGAGTTCATGATCGACGCTGTTAAGGAGCTTGGGATCACCGTTGCGAAGGACCAGGCCAACGGTAGCCCGATTGGAGGTTACTTCTGCCCTCACAACCAGGACCCGACTTCCTCCACTCGTTCCTCCGCCAGAGAGGCTTATTACGATAACTTCACTGGACGCAAGAACCTCCACCTTCTCACCGGACGCCAGGTTACCAAGGTTGTCACCAGCGGTTCAGGGGATGCTATTAAGGCTACGGGCGTTGAGGTGAGTTAAGGCTGCTCAGCCTTTCAAATGGAATTATCCAGCTGATGTTGTGTTCAGTTTGCCGCCAGCAAGGGCGCTCAGGCGCAAACTGCCACCGCTGCCAAGGAAGTCATCCTGGCTGCTGGAGCTCTGCACTCGCCCCAGATTCTTCAGGTTTCCGGCATTGGCGACCCGGCTCTGCACACCAGCATCAACGTCCCTACTGTTGTCGATCTCCCCGCCGTCGGCCAGAACCTCCACGACCACGTGATGCTGACTGTTGTTAACACCAGTATGAAACTTCTAATCTGAGATTGTCCTGACGCCAGCTGACTTGAAACCCCTAGTTAACACCACTCTGCCCGTCGGCTCTCTGCTCCAAAGCAACGCCACCTTCGCCGCCGAGGCTAGAGCCCAGTACGACAGCCAGAAGAACGGCCCTCTCAGCTCTCCCACCGGCGACTTCCTCACTTTCCTCCCGCTCTCGACATACTCCAAGGCTGTCGATACCCTCAGCTCCGAGGCGTCCGCCCAGGATGGAACCACTTTCTTGCCTTCAGGCGCCCCCGCTGAGGTGGTCAAGGGATACCAGGCACAACAGAAGGTCCTCAACGAACGTCTCACCGCCACCGACTCTGCACTCCTCGAGTTGATTTGGGCCGATGGTGTTGTTGTTCTCGGTCTTCAGCACCCCTACTCCCGTGGCTCCCTCAAGGCTGCTTCCTCCAGCACTTTCGATGCTCCCACCGCCGACTCCGCGTTCCTGAAGAACCCCCTCGATGTTTCTTTCTTGGTCGAGGGTGTCAAGTTCGCTCGCACCATCGCCGGCACCGAAGCCGTCAAGCCCCTTCAGCCCTTCGAGGTCGTTCCTGGCGCTAACGTTACCACTGACGCTGCCATCACCGACTTCGTTCGCCAACAGAGTGGTACTTTATTCCATCCCGTTGGTACCTGCAAGTTGGGCGCCAGAGAGGAGGGTGGTGTCGTTGATGCCAGCCTGAAGGTCTATGGTATCAGCGGACTCCGCGTTGTTGACGCTAGCATCATGCCTCTTGTTCCTGCCACTCACATTATGACTACAGTCTATGCTGTTGCTGAGAAGGTAAGCTCTAGTTAACATCATCAAGCGCTTCTGAGCCGTACCTGAGGTCGTCCGCTAACAATTCTGATTTTAGGCTGCCGACATTATCAAGGGCACGACCGCATAGAGGGAATGATGATCATGAAGCACGCTTATTTTCAAGGGGCGGAATTCAGTTTACCCCGGCCCATGTACATGCAACCCAAAATAGCATTTAGCAAGATTTAGCTCTTTTATGTCGATACAAAACCACGGGTTTTATGAACCAGCCTCGAGGTGATTCTCTTGAGCGAACTTGTTGTTCCTCCTCTCAAGTCATAAATCTGGCTTGTGTGTCTCACCTCGCACTATCCAATGACATTGGAACAACATGTAGATCTCTTTTACGATGACATGATTTCATTACGAGAAGATGAGCTCAAATTCAACAAATATCTACGTAGCTTGATTTTGTGGTGCACCTCCTGCAATGATGGCCGACATTAATGCGCTGTATTTAACAAACTGAATAGGCTTCAAGTGTAGCTAAGAATCAAGATAACCATGTAGTTCTGAGCAAGCTTAGACGATGGATTTTGGGTCAGGCAAGAACGATGGAAGCATATTATATACTTTAATCAACCAGAACGATTAAATCCAGCATTGACTCCTTGAGCAGGAGCATGTTAGTTGATATCGGCCCGCCTGACTTTCTTTATCGACTTGACAGACAATCGGCATCCCGCTACGAGAAGATCTTCGGCGCAATTAGCCCACCTCAAAGCGCTTATTCCATATCGTTCTTCAACTTTGAGCCAAGACCTGACCTGAAGAGGACAAGTGCCTTCGATCACAAGCTCTTCCGCAGACTCGGGGCGTTCTTCCTCGCTCCCTCTGATTCGCATTTTCTTCTGTTTGGCCTTACAATTTGAGGTGATCTCAGGCCATGGAACTTAGTGTAAGTCCTGTGTCCTCCCTTGGCCGGGTTCGACCTACCATGCATATCTTGAGATCTCCAGTGCCTGAAACTTCGCTGATGACGAAAAAATGGCGATAGGCTCGCTGGGGTAGGCCATCAATGAATCCCTTGGGCAATGCTTCGGGGGGCTTCAAGATGCATCCCACATATTCAGGATTCAAATCATTTTTCGGCTTGTTCTCGACTTTCACTCACTCCGAATTATGATCATTGCCCTCGTGTACGTTTGTGTTGGTAACCATAGCAGTATCATGTTGGCTCACGGATTGAGACAATGTTGTCGGTTGCGTTGTGCGATGCTCGTTCTTGGATGAAACGCCAAATCGATTAGATGTCGGGATTATGGGTAGAGGTGGCATGGCTGACACAAATAAAGACTCTGTTTCAATATGGTGAAGGAAGTTATCGCTGGTTGGCTGGCTACAATCTCAAATCGAAGTAGCAGTCGCGGTACGTGTCAATGTTCTACTCTGGTCTAGATCAATGTGGTTTCGAAAACAGATTTCAAGAACATTTTGACGGAAAAAGCACCCGCACAGCTTGGTGTGATTGTCTCCCAACCTTGGCGGCTTAGGCTACTTTCGTAACCCAGGAAATACGCAGGAAAGGTCTGATGGCTACTGTCACTTGTGTATCTTATTGGACGGCAACAGGCCGTGGGCGGAAGACTGCATCGCCTGATGCCAAACCGAGACGGCCAGTCTTTTGGTGCTCTAATTGGATGAGCGAGGTCAGAAGAAGCCAGAGTCTCGCTCAGTCTGGGCAAAACTTCTGTTTTCAAGATGTTGACTCCATCCAATTCTACTCTGGCACTGTAGGAGAAGATAGAGGAAAAGAAGGACCTGAGGAGTCAAACAAAAGAGAAGGCTGGCTGTGGGCGAGAAGATAGACATCGCATCTGTAGCGCCCCTTTACATACTTCTCTCCCCCCTGCCCAAGTACATATCCGTGTTCGACCCGGAAGCCTCACGATGATTCACACAAGTGGCAAAACGGGCGTGCTGATCCAGTGCCATGCTCTCACATGCCTACCTCTATATCGGGATATCTTGCTTTTCGTAATAACGGCCTACGAGCTTGATTGCTGTGGAGGAATGCAACTTGACCGCTGCATCACCCGCAGTACAGGCGTTTTACACGACAGAAGTTCAACCTTGAGAGCGGGATTATTGTCTCATCAAACCTAAAGAGTGAGTAACTTTCACAGAGGAGCTTTCAGTTCAAGCCTTGAATGCATGTAGCAGTCAATCAACGCAGCTAAATTCGCGTTGACTGATTGTAGCGACGGACAATACTGGGGAGCACTACTCTTAACCTTGACGCGATGATCAAGGCTAGTCCAAAGATTTCATGCTAGTCGTTTCTGTTGAAGCTTTCAGGGTTGAGTGGCCCGTAAGACGAATACCATCAACATCCTAGCAGCCAGAGCTCCGTCAGAAACTGCTTTCAGGTGCTGTCATGCGTTAAGACTAGTCTATTTACAAATAATCACAGCATCTAAGCCAGGTTGCATTCTTGTTCCCTTCTAGACTTTAGGAGCGGGGTTGTGTATGTATTGATGGAGCTCCTGAGAAAAGCTTCCCCGAGGTCTATAGTCGCTGAGTAGCGATTGTGAAGTCGTATTCAACTCGGTATTCTTCGCGCCCAACGAGACCATGAACGCCGTGCTATGCAATTGATTGAAATCAGAGGGTGCCGCCAACATATTTGCAAGCTCAACTCCGTGAGACTACCAGTCCACTGCCCAGCCATTCTCCTCGAGAAACTCTTCACAGGCTTGTCTCAGGCCAAGATTAGGCCTCAACTCGGATGGCAGTAGGGGCTCGCGTGTGAGGGGATCGCTGGGGTGACGACGGAGATGTTCCATGATTGATGCCCTCTCGTAAGACTTTCCAGTCTTTGTCTGTGAGCGTGTTAGTAGGCAGCAAGCAAGCAGCAAGTAGACTAACTCACCAGTACAGGATCGACCATAATGCCGAAGCTGATGTCATCGATGGCCCACTCCGGAACCTCACGTCTCTTCTCCTCGGCAGAGCGACTCTTCTCAAAGGTGCTTCTCAGTATCTCGATCTTTTGCTCCCATTCAGCCTCAATCTCTCTCTTTTCCCCGTCGTCCATTGCGTTCGTAAGGGCTTGTTCACGTTCTTTCTCCATCAGCTCAATGACTTCGTTTTCGAGGTGTCGTGCTTCCCGTGTTCGCCGCTTCTCCATCCAATCCCATCTATCCTTCTTCGCGCGCAACACTTGAGCGGTGATGGCCGCCAGTGACTTATCGCCGGTCTGTACGCAAAGCTGGTGGGCCTTTTGTGCATTCGTGAGGGCCGAATCGTAGTCCTTGAGGGCGAGCTGGGCTTGGGAGAGGTAGTAGTGGGCCTTGAGGTTGTCGGTTGTAAGTCCGAGACACGATTCACAGTCGGACACAACCGAATCCCATATCTCGAGCTTGAGGCGTGCCATTGCGCGGTTGGTGTATAGAGCGGGGTTCTTCGGGTCGGCAATGATGCTATAATAGGCCAAGAATTAGCTTCTCAGTCGATACGATTGCCATGTCTAGCTGTCTGGAATACATAGCAGGTGGATCAGGCTGGGGCTGGCTCTGGATTCGTTTAGGTGAAGCTTACGCCTTGGAATACAGGGCCTCCGCGCCAGCATAGTCGCCCTGCTGGAAGTGGCGATTGCCTTCTTCCTTGAGCTGTATTGACCTCGACATTATGCTGTTGTTCCCTTTGCAATGTGTAGTTGTAGTTCGGAGGGTACAGTCCCAGTCCAATATTGAAGGATTGGAACTAGTAAGCGGAGGAGACGGTTCAGCGGCGGGCTGGAAGAACAGGTATTCAGTCGTATTATAAAGATGCAAAGTAGACGCCGAATGCAACGGTGCAACCTTGGCGAGTCTCGCCGTTCAATCAGAAGTCAGCCCAATAGTTGTCTGTCGAGGCTCAGAACACCGAGACAGAAGGCTGCGCAGAAGCCAAGGAGGGTGACCTTCAATGCGTACTGAGGCGTACGGACTGCAGTCAGGGAAATTGGTTCGGTGATGAGGAGACAGGTATCCGGCTCGGTGAATGGTGTGGAGGAGAAGCCGTTGGGCACACCGGCTGCTGCAGCTCAGCCTCGGGGCGTCAATATGGTGTGCCAGTGGAAGATTCAGTACCCTCCGACGTTGCTGCTGCTGCTGCAGTACTTGGTCGCTGCTGTCACCACTCCAGTGGACGTTGAACGCGGGACCCCCGCCAACCCGCGCCGATGGGTTGGACGTGGATTCCAAGGGTCGCTTTCTCCGCCGACCCCACCTTCGCCCGGGACTTGCGGCTGTCATTACCTTCTCGAATCTTCCGCTTAGAAATGGGTGGCTGAGCCTAGGCCGATGCTCGTCCGACCACGTGATGTGGCTCAACAGCCTGCAAGTGTCACTCGGGCCCGCGAACTCGGCCGGAAGTGGGCCCTCCCATACATCGGCACGGAGATCTTCAAGTTCAAGTGCCTTATCCTTACGGGATCTTCTCCGTACCTTACCTACTATCGATACCTAAGTGCAATTCTCGACTAGTCCTCCGACAGTAACGGCAGTAGCCCTTTTTCTTCAATTGACACACAACACAGTTCACACGACCAAGCCCCCCACATTTTGCGTGCAATTTCTCGTCAACTACAAATCGGCCCTGCTCCTGCTATTCGCTATTATGGCTGAGTCTAGTATGAAAGCACGGACAGCCCACGAAGTGGGCATATGGAAACTATGCCGCAACAAATCAAGCCCCTAGTCAGCCATTTCTAGCCGAGCAACAAGAAAGAGCGTCTCGTCATCTTCCATTAATATTACCATTAGGCCCTTTGTAGCAATTATCCCTCTCCACCGATGCTATGGTCCTTCAGACTTCAAGCGGCTGATCCTGATCTCACAAACACGTCCCCAGATGCTCTCAGTTCTTAAACTGGAGGTGTAGTGGCCATCTGAATCCTTTTTTAATGTTCCTAATCTCTCCACCCTCCATGAACAACATGAAGAACAGCCACAGTCCACGGGCAATTGTTATAGCAGCGACAACAATCGCTACGATCTGGCCAACAGATAGTGCTCGACCGCCTTCTAGTTTGAATACGCCTTTTTTGTCTCCGATCGATATCTCCGCTGCGGCCATTGCAGCAACCATGAAAAGTCCGTAAACGATGTACATGAGCGATACCGTTGTTGGGTATGGGGCAAATTTCATGTCCTGCGAGTGTGCTCCAAGCCAAGCTCGAAGTCTGCCTCGCCAAGTCGAGACCTCGTTGTGGTCTTCGCCCAAAGATGGGTGCGTTATGCCCTTGAGAGTGTCCCTTGGGTTCTTCTCGGCTTTGTGAAAGATCTGTGTATTCATGAGCGCATGAAAGCTACTCTGAATGTAGACAACACATCTGAATGTGTAGTATAACCAAAACACGCTTGGTTCGTCTCTCTTGAAATCGATTGACAGGTCGTCGTTGTAGGAGAAGTTCCGTAGCTTTCCCCACCAAAACACTTGGATAGATTTGCAGTTGTCATCCGGAGTTAGGGAAGTATCGGAGAGTGTACCGAGAAATCCTCGAACTAATATGGGTATGAGCACCATGCTCATGGCCTGGCAGAAGATCACTATGCCGACTTGCCACCTGGATGCGAGTGTCTGTTTGTTGATGAGGATGATCGAAAGAGCCATGTTCTGCGAGTCGAGAATCATGGCACCTAGGATTGCACTCGCCGGGGTGAGCATGCTGCGCTTTTTCTCACTTTGGATCAGTTGAACAAGTACAGCAATAGCCAACGAGAAGTGTGTGATGATAAGGCCAGCGCCGATTTCCTTTGCACCAGTGACCTTTGAGTGGAATGTGCCAGCCAAGGCAATGAAGAAGATGACGAATTCTTGTGCCCAGACAGCTATGCGGATGCCATATCCTCCTATATCGGCATCAATCCCAGCTCGGCAAGGCGGTTTTGTAAAGGTGTCTTTTCCAAAGCCCTTTTCGAGATCGAAAATAATTGGGATAGTAATTATCCCAAAAATGCCGACAGATATGGGTGCGATCAAGTACTGGAAGAGTAGAAGCGATTGACGGGTCATCTTTTTGTGAAAGAAGAAATGGAAGAAAGATTCTATGCCTAGATAGACGATCTGAAAGGTGAGAAATATAGCCAAGATGGCCAGTCTACCTGGCGTTGCGATGCCCATTGTGTTGGGAGTGCTCAGAAGCACGTTTCACAATTCGTCGGTTCTGGATTGTAGATGTTGAGTTTTCTATTCAAAAAACCAGTCAACGAAGCTTTTATGAATATTTGGGAGGGAAGCCAAATTGTGGCTTGAGAGCCTTACCATGGAGCTCAAGGGAGGATTTGAAGAGGTGCAGCTGACACACCCTCCTGGATGGCCAATCCTACTTATAGCAGTTGTAAAGTGAGACTTGTGCAAGGCAGACCAATTGGGTCGTTTGCCACGATCCAGAGGGATGTGGCCGTGAGATCAGCGTGCAACCCTAAGGACACATCTCTGTTGTCTCGGTGTAGCCTCACAAGCCTCATGTCACTCCCTCAGTGCCTCACTCCCAGGCTGCCTGTGGCATTAGGCATCGAACAAAAGTTGTCTTTCTAGTTGTTACTATCGAAAGGCTCCCTTTTGCGACGGGAAAGGAGATAGAAAACTCTGGAAAACAAAAAGAAAAATCAATATCTCAATCTTTCATTTTTAGGAGTACAATTCACTAAGGCAATCTTGAACTTTTTGGACGGTTCTGCATTGATGAGAAGTAGAAATAGGCAAGTCCGTGTTCGTTTAAGAACTTGGCTGATACTTCAGTCTATCATGTCACATTTTTCTGCCTTATTACATTGCTCTTTACACTCTTGTTTAACTACTGAAGGTACGGGAGCTTTGATAGGCCCTCTTCCTAGAAAGGTTTTCTGCTACTTATAGATTTTATAACACTAGAGAATTTGGTCAAGTACTTGGAGCTTAACTTAATGGGTTATACCTCTTGGTCCATCGGTCAATAATACTGTGTAACACCAAGATGAGTTGCTTGACACGCCATTATCTTGTTGTGTTCTGCTGATCTTCCCACGCAGCAGTTATGTAGACCGACAATCCCAGAGCTGCCATCTGCCATATCGCGGACTGGATGCTTGAGTGGGCTCTTGTCTTGGTGAAGCCACCCGGGGTATCTCTCCTCCCGTTTATCAGTTCACGGTTCAGCAAGATGACCTCTCTTCTTGGGAATTCATTCTGACCAGAGTGCTTGGCTCCCCGGCCTCGGACCGCTCCGGACCGAAGTGTGGAACTATCTTGCAATCGACAGCATTGTCCCATGGGCACCATTACGACCGCCGAAGTTGAAGCCCGTCTCAGCTCCGCCACCCCCAACAGCTCAATAAAGGCTTCAGAGTCACGGTAAGTCATTCTCGGAGATTCTTCGTTCAGTTGATGTGATCTGTCATAGCGCTGAGCTGTCACGGCCCAAAAGAACTTGGTCCCCGAGTGAGTCTTTGTCTTGACTTTTTAGAGTTGGACCCCTAGATATTACTTACGAGATTGAGTCCCTGCATCCTGTGGGATAAACGCCTTATGCTAGCCTTCGATGGAATCTCCCACCTGTCAAAATCTCCTTAGTAGCCCACCGGGTTATTGACAGCTGCATGGCCATAGGGCCGTCCCGCCCGGGTCCCACATCCGTGATTATAGCCGATGGGATATCTCGACCCTGCATCGAAAGAGTTGATACATCACTTTGACAACGAGTTTTCTCTCGTTTCCTACTGTTTGATGGCGTGTGTAGACATTCTTCATCTCCACCAAGGGTCAAAGACCTTTTGGTCTTTGTCATTCTCCTAAGGCCATGGTGCATTTCTGACTGTCTGAGATACCACCCTTCACATTGTATCCCATCAATTTGAGCGAGAATTTACTGATCAAGTCGTACGGTAGTCTGGATGTGATCATGCTGGCCGGTGGCTGCGTCTTGGCGGCATCTCAAGTTCCATCAGGCAGTTGACGAGGCCGACATTCCGTTCGAGGTGTCAAGGTCGTGAGGGGGCGCTTTCAAACCTCATTATCGGAACGACTGAATCTAGCAAGAACACGAGTCATTGCTGCGGAGGCCTACTCTCTGGTGCTCCATGAAGTGTGTCTGGATACTGATCTCGTACTGTCGTGGAGAGTCAGACTGAGCCTCACGCTGCCTTTGTGAAATCTATAAAGACGGACTCTTTCCATCCTCAGTCGAGAAGTTTCAGACATCAACACATCATCCTCTGATCTCACAATCCAAACAACCTTCAACAACTCGACACCAATTCTCCAATCAAGGAACCCCATCCAAACCATCAGTAAGCGGTTTCCTCTCATCATCCAAAAGCCCCAAGAACTAACTCGAGCACAGAAATGAAGACCTCCGCCATCATCGCCGTCGCCGCCCAGGCCGCCGCCGTCTTTGCCAACTGCAGCGTCCAGGTCCTCGACGCCAACAACTTCCAGATCGGCACCGCCTGCATCCCCAAGGGTGGCCAGGGCTCCGTCCGCTACAACGGCGGCAACTACTTCATCACCGCCACCTCCAGCTGCGGCCTTGGCTTCATCAGCACTCAGACCCACCCCGCTGGCTGGCAGCTCAAGCTTCTCGGCAACTGCTAAGTTGCATATACCGAGTTACACGACAGGTAGTGCCGGGCTGTGCCTTGAGGACGAATTTGGCACAGCTTTGATGGCTAAGGGAGAAGCCAACGATTGGCGAGAAAAAGGGGAGGTTTTACAGAGAGTGGCAATACGAAGGATAGATAGTCCTTACTTGGGTAGACTACGACTCTCAATGCTCATCGAACTACCTGCCAGTATCTGCTCCTTCTTCCTTGAACACAAGTGAACATGTGTGGGTGAATGTGGGTCGAAAACCAACATCATTGGGGGTATTAAAAGTGAAACAGTGTCCTGACCGTTCTACGTGCTATGCATGAAGGACAATGTGACCATATGAGTACTGAAGTAGGCTCAGTCGGTTTGACATCCACCAGTACGATTATGAGAACTACATGCCATAATTCCTCTTTTGAAGGTATCTTGCTGCTCCTGATATGCCAAGGACTCAACATGTCAACGCTTCTTCTTTGCGTCTCTGGATTTAGTGGAGTTGTCTAACAAATCCCGTCCCAATTTCATATTACCTAGTGTCTTGATAAATCGACTTTGCCTTCAAGCGAGGTAACATGTACCTAGGATTTTGCCGACCCTGGGCGAGAAGTCATATTCAGGAGCTCTGAGATGTTCACTATGTCTGAAACTATTCCTTTTGTTGTGTATCAAATTAAGGTAGGTATCACAAAACGGCAAAAGTTAGTTGATTGGGAACAATTAATTCCATATTTCTTTCTCCCATTCGGTTCTATTACATCTTTCATTTCTAGAGAATTTCGAACAAGAGAGAAAAGAAATTGAAAACAGAGCGAATAAATTCAGAGAATAGCTGAGAATGGATGTATTGTCATTGTTCCTCAATTCCTTGATGGGTTATCGTCTTGCGAGGTTGGAATGTAGTCATTGGCTGGGGTCAGACCCCCCGAGAGTTGAAACCTCTGACATCTACACCATTCTTCAGGCGCTCTTTCTAGTGTTGACTTGATTTATGGAGAGTAGACTCAAGCTGTGCGAATGAATCGTTTCTCTAGACTAAGTCTTCTTCCGGTATCTTATTTGCCATGCCACCAGCCGTAGATCTTTGAGGTGTTGTCACGTATTTTAAAGTGCCGGGAGGTGGCTTAGTGTGTGGCTTGCATCCCGCCTGAACAACCCCACAAAACCCCGCAAGTTTCCAAAGCAGTTGAAGATGGTTATCGCTAGATAAGATGGGATCGGAAGAAACCTGGAGAGACACCGGATGAGACGCTCTAAGAGGGGAAGTCCCGGCAGGCCGGCGCTGACTCGGTCAAGAGAGGGGTTGAACGGAAACCCATCGGGCTTGGTATTACGGGAAGTATGGCAGAGGAAGTGCAAGGCGGGGGACGGTCGTACGATCGTGCTCACAATAAGGATTCTGTTTGCTGACATCGGGACCAACCGCCGTCTGAGATGGAATGGGTCTGAACATGGAAAATAGGCGACGAACGGCTGCAAGCTGAAGCTGAATCGAGGGGTAAAGTCGAGACCGACAAGTCAGAGTAGGTGGGTGTTACAACAGGTCGGCGACTTCAGATGAGAAGACCAATGAAACCCTCCTCCCAAGGCGACGGGCCTCTTTTGGTTGTAAGGTTACAGTTTTGCTTCTGTTACTGCGAACAAGAGAGTGCATCTTCACTCTGACGTCGCCTTGATGCTACAGTACCTGATATTCCGTACCAAAACTTGACCCAAGGGGCCAAGGATAGCGGGGGTAGTACGCCTCGTGACGCTTGGCGAACGAGGTTACACCAGGCGCTGCGGTAGGAGAAAGGCTTTGCAGGTGTGCCGACTACGGATACGTTATAAGGACCTCAAGGTGAGAGGCAGCGCACCGTCCAAGACTAGGTAGCAGCGTCAAGGATTCCCGGAGCAAACATAGCGCGCCGCAAGCGATCTGTCATTCGTGTTGACAAGCTGAGCTATCTCGGGGCGAGCGAACGGGTTCCTAAGGGACACCCGATTAACCGAGTACCAATGTGTGCCAACCAAGGAGACCAGGCGCGAAGTGCAGAAATGTGGCTGCACGTGGAAATCCTGCGCAGCTGTGCCGCTGCGTAGTCTGCGTCTCTCCTGGCGTTTCGGTTCCAGATCTGCGTGACGCTGATGAGCCTTACCCAGGCCCCAGCGAATAGGACAAGGTCTGAATCAAACGGGCTTTGAATTATCAGATCATGTACAAACAGCAAGGAGCAGGCACCGAAGCATCTAAGTTCATGGTTTGTGATTTGTGTGGGGATAGCCTTTCGACAAGAAAAACTAACGTTTTTGGAGGGAAAGGATTCAGGCTTTCGAGTGACAGATAGCGCCGGATGCTTTCGAGAAGCAAGCTTCCCATAGGTACCTAGATCCGGGGTGATGTTACCCAAGACGACCAAGACGCGAAGTTTGTCCAGTCAACTAAATAGGTACTCCGTACGGATATGTCACGGCATATTTCGGATAGAAGAAGATTGGGGATGCAGACAGACCTGAGGACTGAGAGAAATGACTGACGGATGGAAAGAGGTGAAGATGATTGACCTCGGATAAGATAAGATAAGCGGCGGATGTGAGTGGACGAAGGAAACGCCGGCCCTCGAGGAGGTCTTCATTCCTGCCCCGACTTTTCCAAGAAGCCGAGACCCCACAAGGTCGGCGTTGGTCGGTACATGTGGATACGTAACTCTCTTCCCCTCACGCCGGGACAGGACCCGAGGGGAAAAGTCTCGAGACTCTGTAACCAAGTCTCTAAATGGACCTATGGCGCGCCGGTAATTACTCACAAGTGGACCCAAGCCCGTGCACGCCAGTCGGTCGCAAGGTCCAACTTCCGGATTCCGGGATTGGCCGAACGGGGGAAAGGGCAGTCCTGCGGCTCGACCTTACTATGTAGAGACTACAGACTGTAAGACTCGAGTGCGTGAGTGTTCCCCTCCTTCACTCATGTGCCTCTCATCTGCCATCACCATTCCTTTTCCAGCCGACCCTTCCACTCGCCCCCTGGCTCTCCCACCCCTCCCACCCACATCCAGTTTGGCGGGCCACAAGTGAGTCGACGTCAGGATTTATCTCACACAAACCTGCATCCGATGCCTACCGGTACTCGACCACCCTCCCCCACTGCGACTTGACTCGACAGCCAGAGCCAGAGACCAGGGCACACGCGAAGCACTCCGACGCACGCCGCTTTCTTCCCGACATACAGCACCATCCCGCAGCGAAGACTCAGTCAGCCAACTTCCCCATCCCATCCATCCCGCCCGTATCGCGCCTGTGCTGCAAGCCTGCACCTCTACGCCGATCACTCATCCGAGTCCACCCCAAGGCGCTTCCACGATCGAAATACCGCGCGCAGGATCGAGACTGCCTCTTCACCCCGCCAAACACCATATATCACCCACGATAACGACCCTTCTGTTACCGTCACCCCTCGTTCCCCTGAGCGACGTTTCTACATACACACTGACGAGCCCACAATCAACGGAATCCCGATTTTGAGTGCCCCTCTCGCCTCGCTGCGGCTCCTCATTTCTCTTCCCCGTACGAAACCGTGTTGCAGCGCAAGCTTGGACGTCTTGCCCCAGGATCGACCCGGCTCGGGCACGGATGACAGCATAAACCCCAGCAACCTATGTAGAGGGATATCATACCGGAGAATAGGGGTCCCCAACCGAAGCGCTTGCTTTTTTACCCTTTCGTCGGCGGAACCTCCCCGTTACCTCTTACGTCAAAACACGGCAATCTCCTCACTCTTCTGCAACGACACACGCACGACCGGGTGCGGCTTCGATCTGCATACTACGAATACAACCACAGTACGGCAAAGGCGACCGATGACATCGCGGTCCGACGCATCCACGATGCCTTCCCAACGACCTTTCTTCCTCTCCACCTTCTTCAACTCCTTTAGACAACAGTCTCCTTCGGCGACGGCGCTATCATCGCAGCAACCGAATAAGCATACCACGCAAACATCATCGTCATCGTACGCCACACAGTCCGCTGCTTCAGCGCCACGAGCCATTTCCTCGAATACATCAACAAGTAGCGGCGGAAACAACGTCAACGCCAACTCGACGACCCGTTCGACATCGGGAGTCGTGAACCAATACCCACTTCACTCCCCGCGGGGTGGCATCCCCATTCCCGGTAGCGCCAACCGACGGCGCGGAAGCGACAGCAGCAGTGAAGGATTCCGCGATGTATTAGGTGCCGATAAATGGTACATCGGAGGGCGGACTGCTGGCGGCGAGGAAAAGTTCTTCAAGCTGGGCGTTGCCAGGAGGGTGCGCAGTAACGACGGCCTGAGTCTGGATCGACTGAGTTTATAGAAGTGAAGGACGGCGGCGACGGCGACGATGATGACGACGGATGACGGCGAAACTGGTGATCCTAAGAATGATCAGACATGACGAAGGCTTTTAAACATGAAATGGGTATATAGGCGGAACTTGGGAAATCGGCATCATCAATGAGCCCCCTTTAACGATACATCGATGGGAACATATCGAACAAATCCTCAGAATCCTGAGGCCACTGGCGTTTTGGAAGGATTATGAATTTTCTTTTCTGAAACAAATAGCAACCTGAAAAAGGCTTAGAGCACACGTGAGAGTGCAAGAGAAAAGCATCAAGTTGAGCAAAACAAATGGACAAGTCACTTTCTACATTTCTTCTACCTCGGTTGTTGTCCACAAAACTGTATTGACTAGCCTCGAGGAGGCGATTCTTTTACGCAGGGCAGTGATCCATCTACCACATGAACCGCTGCATCCGACCATTTTCCAATACTCTGCCATCCTCTGCCCTCCATAGGTATGGCTTGGCAAGGAATATGTACATGGTGATCAAGTTGACAAGCACGAACCAGAGAGTCTCTAGCACAAGTCGCACATCAAACTTCTTTCCGAACCTGACCAACGAGCCCAGGATGGGCAACTTCTCGGCCTTTGAGAGGACCGGATGTGTGGCAGCGTGGTCGTGGAGTCTCCACGCCGGGACGAGAATGCGCCAGAAGACCCAGGGGAGGATGAAGTAGCGCGGCTCGACGAGGGGTGCCGTCATTAGCGAGAGGGTCGTCGCGAGGAGGAGGAGGATTGCGGTCGATGAGGCGGTAGGCTCTGTGGTGTAGGATGTCTGGTCTGCGAGGGTGATGATGGCGTAGGGGTTGTGGCGGTCCTTGGGTTCTTTTCCTTCTGCGGCAGGGACGGCCTCGGATTCGTCCAGAGGCTCTGTTGCAGAGGGCTTTTCTTCGCGGTAGGGGCTTGCGGTGCTAAAGGGGTTATTCTGCCATGGTCCGGGACGGAGCGCGGTGTACCGCCCCGAGCAATCTGCGGTGTGGTCTGAGAGGAAACCGCCTTGGCCGCAGCCGGCGAGTGCGTCCCAGCATAACCAGCGGGCGAGGGCGTAGGGGATGATGAGGCAGTAGCGGAACAGGCCCGGGCGGCGGATGGTGTAGCGGAAGATGTAGAACATATAGTGTCTGTTATCTGCGAGGGTGAAGGGGTGAATGATGGTGTTGAATCTGACGACGAGCAGGGTCAGAAGGAGGAGGGCGGGCGTTAGGAGGAGGTGGTAGAGTTTGGAACCGATGACTTTCTGGAGGGTGGTGAGGATGATGGAGGTTGAGGGGGTGGTTGCTGAATCGAGTTGCTCGGTAGAGTCTTGAGTTTGGAGTTTCTGTTTCTTTGAAGAGCTACCTTGAGCAGGTCCGCTGAGAGCGTGCTTGCGGCCGTGTGTGCTGCTATCGGAGTCTGCGCCCTTGACTGTGCTCGTCTTGAAGGTGGTACGGTAGAGACCGTGAACGAAACGGAGGACCCCAATGGCGGAAGGTAGGAAGAGCGGGAAAGAGAAGAATGCGAATAGAGGCCAGATGTAGAGCATTTGGGCGAGGTGGATTGTCGCGACATGGTTGGATTTGTCGCCTGGCGATATGTTAGTCCTTGTATCCACTAGAGTTTTATGAGGAAACATACCGAGCACCACGCCGCCGTTCCAGGCAACGAAGCCGGCGAAGAGGGCCATGATGGTGATATGCGGATAGACCTTCTTCAGTACGCGAAGAGGATTGGCTAGAGCAGCGATGCCGATGCTCAGGGCGGAGAAGAATAAGTCTGGCAGTGTCAGTAGAATTCCTTCCAGCCGTGTTTCAGTAGACTCACCATCTGGCCATGCAGTGTTGAGAGGCGGATCATGGACATCCCCAACAGAGTATCTCCACCCGTAGAACTTCACAACCTCGCCGAGTGTCGTCATGCTGGGCTTAGCCACCGGATCAGGACGGAGGGCCTTGACAGCGGCGACAGCCTCCAAGCCGCCCATATACACGACAACCCAAAATACATTGGTCTGTCTCATGACAAGAGTCAAGACGCCGAGGACGATAGTGATCCAGTCACTCAAGAAAGAACTGCGCTCCTCACGGACGCGGTGGAGGTGGTGATAGTAGGCAATAAGGACTGACAGAGTCGAGACGACGTCGGTGTAGTACAGACCCGAGAAGAAGAAGAGAACAGGAAAGAGGGCAATGTTCCAGCCAAGGTGAATCGCGTGAAAGGAGAGCACTGCTGGGGGTGCTGGGGACTTGGCGTCGGGGCGGCGAGTCTCGAGGAGGTGGCGGCAGTGAGTCGCGAGGATGCCGACGCCGAGAATGGCGATGATGTTGACGCCACGGAGATCGAGGACGGAGCAGTCGGGTCTCATCATCACCTGAAGGTAGTATTTGGATAGAATGTACCTGGAGATTTGTTAGCTGGGTGTGGTGATGGGTCCAATGAGAATGGCGGCTTACAAGCCAGGAGGAGTGGTAATCTTGTCATCCCACTCGTCCCATCTTCCTTGACAGAACTTCTGGGCTTGAGGAATATGAAAGATCTCATCCTATTTTTTTTGTTAGTATGGTGGGATGGTATCGATCTTACATATGGAAACTGAGCTCACCAGGTATGGCTTGTCGACTTGGGCCATGACATTGCTGCACCAGATCCAGCCGAGGATGAAGATGATGATGTACGACACGCGCATGAGCACATCGTAAATCTTGTTTGTCTTGGGCCCCGAGGGGTTGGGATTGGGCATCTTGGGGGTGATGACCCATAGTAGAGAGTAGAGAACGACGACGGACAGGATGTTGAGTCCGTCGACGAAGGCTTCGACGGCCTTCATCTTCAATGTGAGCTGCCCAGAGGGCAGACGAGATTGAGGTGGCTGGCTGTGGGGTTGTGTTGGTTCCGTTGGATGTAATCACTCAAGGTGTGGAAAGAGGCCAAGAAGGAATTGAACTGAAATGAGTGTCAGAAAACAAGGTGAATGGGGCTTCGCCTGGGGATACAATGAGTGTTGGGAGCAGTAGCAAATGATCTCTTACACAGACAAGTGAGGTGGAAGAAAGTGAACAGTTCATCATTTGGCGAAGATGCAGCAATTACGCGTCTTCGCACTGTTTGCGCACGGCCTTTAACTTAAGCTACTCGCTGAAGAAAGGGGCAGTTCAGCTCCCTGACAAAACTACTTTTACCAATGTTGTGTTTTGAGATGATGCGTAGAAGATACATAACACAGAATAGTTGCGTTGACTAAGTTCTCGAATCACTGCCTTATTCAAACACATCAAAGTCAAAGAGTCTATTGTATCTTTTATACAAGCCCCGAAGGGTGGACATCCCTCCATCCCAACACCTCATTCAACCATGCTCACCACATTTTCAGCATTAGAAAAGCATAGCCAAGTTATGAAAGGCATTTAGAATGGCTGTTTGTCTAATGTTAGCATGTTGCCTTGGTGGTATTCGATCTTGAGGAAAGCTCACGTTGTCAGACGCAGGGGGAACCTCCTTGAGGAACTTGGGGCCAACAATGGGGATCTTCTATAGAGGGTGTTAGTTCTCAGGTGAATCCACTTCGGAGACGCAGTCTGCCTTACAACAAGGATGTCGTTCTGAATTCTCGGGATGCCGGAGGTGTAGAAGAGGGCGGCAACACCGGCGGCAGCGCCGAAACCTGCAGCGCGGGTTCCGCTAGTATCATAGGTTAGCTAATCCGTTCCGAATCTTCCAATTGTGTTCAACTCTGTCTTATGACGGTATCCGATAACTCCTCGTCGCCTCATGTCATCGTCTGTAACGTTCATGTCGGCGGAACAGTGGCAACGGCAATAAGGGTTTCTTGGGCCGAGAGTCGGAATCGTGATACTGAATGCCGTGCGAAGAGTCTAAGGGGCAACTCACAGCTTAACGACGGAGGCAATGGTCCAGCCACCAACGTTGGGGATTGTGTTGTACCTAGATCCAATCAGTCAGCCCACTGCTCTTTCGGTCCATTGCTCATCGCATGGAGTTTGTCTCGCGGTGTCGGGAATTCGGAGGCGCTTGAGCAGCCGTAGTCGAGAGGGATCAATCGTATGGGTATCGTAAGACGTACTTGGGGCCGAACTTGCTGCGGAAGGCAGGGTACAGAGTACCGACGCGAGCCTGCATTGTGACTTTTGTCAATATTTTGTCATGTCTGAGTGGCCTCAGAAGCGTGGAGCAAGAGCGTGGAAGCTCAGGTAGCGGTTTGGCTTACGGGGGAAGGCATCTTGAATGTGGTGGTCGTGCGAACGAACTGTGGGGTGTTCAATTGCAGATGCAAAAGAGTGAGGTCGTGAAAGAATGGTGATGTTGCGCGAGTTTCTTAGCGGGAAAAGCCGGCCGGATTTCCAATGCGCCTCAGGCTACAGGCTGGGAGAGAACATTGAATCCCGGAGCCAATGGGCGTGCTGCCTCTGGTGGGCCCACAGTACGGTCTAGCGGAGCTCAACTCAGCCTTGCACCCAAATCCTCTCCTTCACACCACCAGCTAGACCAGCGATCTTGGCTGATCGACAACTTTTGACCACAGCCATGGACAAGATTATTGACGTGCGCTTTGAGCGCGTTGAGAAAGCCCTTGCAGTTCTGATTGAGTCGGTTTCCAAATATCATCCCCACGCCAAGCAGGCATTGGACCTCCACGAAGCAGACCATGACCTCACAAAAGGCCTCGACGAGGGTAAGCTTACCTCCGACACAAGCTGCCAGGCTCCCATGCTAATTCCACGATCACAGTTCAAATCCATCAAAACAACAATCTTCGCCTGCAGCAACTCCGAGCAACGACTACCTCCCTCGACACACAAATCAGAGAGACGCTCTCCAGTCTAGCAACAACACGGAAGGACATCACCACGACCCAAATCACCGTCCACCCCGAAGGACCCAACTACCCCGTGAAATATGACGAGCTCCTCAACTATGCCCGCCGTATCAGTAAAACCACTATCCCGCCCGCCGCCCTCACAAACGGCGGCCTCACC